TTTTATCTACTGATATCGCACAGACTGATGAGTAACTTAAATATCAAATACAAGATATAAAAAAAAATACATGGCAGCACTCTTTTTCCCCTTTCCTGTAATTTAACAGTATTTCTTTTTTGCACAACGTATATAATAATGTTTAAATATAATTAAANTTTTATCTACTGATATCGCACAGACTGATGAGTAACTTAAATATCAAATACAAGATATAAAAAAAAATACATGGCAGCACTCTTTTTCCCCTTTCCTGTAATTTAACAGTATTTCTTTTTTGCACAACGTATATAATAATGTTTAAATATAATTAAAATATAACGTGGAAGCATTTCAATTATCGTTGTATAAAGGAAAATTCTTTGAAAGACATAACATAACATAACATATCATAGTAAATAAAAACAATACATATTTTCATATTTTAAATTTGAAAATAATATAGAAATTCATTTCTGTATGTGTAAAATGATAAAAATTAACTTACGAGTATTATAATAATATATTCAATGTAAACGGTTTTCAACTTAACTTTCGTAATAAGCAAAATCTGTGGCACTCTCTAAAGGAACTGATTGAATAATGAACTCCTAATATTTAAGCCTTTCGCTGCTCGCTAATGTACAGAAAAAGATGTCCGACATTTTTGCAGTGTAAAGTTCTTTTATCATTATTTAATAATTCTATTTTTTTTTGGTCCGACTTGTTTAGGATTCGTTTGGTCCGACTTGTAGTCGAATCTTTCTACATGATGTATATAAATCTCACACTGATTTATTCAAAAGGCTTTCCTTAATATTTTATCGACAAAAGGGTTAATTATTAGGAGTTACATTTTTTTCCACAACATGTAAAAAAAGCTAATACTCTGAACAGACTTGTATACTTGTGTTTAGGTTTGTAAAATGTGTCAAAGCTATGACACATAATAAATTAAATGTTGTATATTTATGGTTGTTATAGACTTCGAAAATTCTTCTATAAATTCACTCAACATGCATGCAACTTTTTCGTTAAGTAACCGGTGTTTACGCAAAAGCGTGAAATCGTCTAATTGTATTAAATAAATATTAGTAACTTGCTACGTTCTGGTATAGAATTGTTGTACTATGTATAAATTAACCATGGGATGACCATATTGCTATTGCAGATCTAGAAACAATAAGGAAAACGATATTCGAGTTTTCAATTCTTCAAATATCAAAACATTCATGATTTAATGGATGAATTCATACCTTAAACATGAAGGTGGCATTGTATTCACTTGATGCCATAACATTATTGCTAAGAAAATGCTCCACGTGCGTAAGGGACACAACATAGTAGCTAGTGTCCCATATGCTAACCAAAAGAAGTAAACCATATTTGCTTGCATTAGAACCAATAACGTTATTGGCAACTGCTGCCATAGAAAACAAACTTTGGAGACTGATTTATAATCAGGTTTGTCAATACTCTGTAGCCTGTAATTTATGTTTTCCATTATTACATTGCCAGTCTAAGAATAATCATTGCTAAGCTTAAACAATACTGTGTCTCACCGTTTATCTACTCTGTGAGCTAAGATTAACGTAAGTGGTAAATGGAAAGAAAACAATTGAAAAAATCCGTAGGCATAGGTAAAGGCACCGGGAAGATAAGAATTTCCAACAAACGTTCCCCACGCGAAGATTATGCCAGTATGATTATCTACAACTTCACCAATGGCCCATGGACCTGTGAAAAATAAATTTCTATTACAAATAGAACTTTTAAAATAATAGCAAGCAAATCTCTAACTACTTACCAACTGTTAAATATAACGCATATATAACTAATGGAAAACACAAGCGATTAACAGTGGATAATATCCATAATTTCCGGAGCCATAAGTGAACAAATTTTATCCTAAACCTCGGCCGATGCAGTTGCTTTTCTACTTAAGAAAATATCTTTTTAGTTACTTCAACTACGCGCTTTTTTATTGCATGACATTTTCTTTTGCTTTGTACTTACTTTCACACAATATGTGAAGAAAACGTAGTAAACATAATGGGACCACTAACAGGATTAACATTGTTCCAAACAAGGTCTGAAACTAAACAAAAACTGCATTCCATTATAAAAATAATTCTTATATGTAATAATAGTAATTGTATTCTATGCCACTCACGATATTGCTGACATTTGACATAAGTATTAGTCGAGGTAGAATACGGAATGATAGACGAGATCCGTCAAGAGCAAAAGGCTGGAAAACTATTGTCTCTCTACCATCCGAGTCTACAACTCTTACCTGAAATACACGTCACATATTAGAAACGTGGTATCGCATACTAAATCTAAACATCAGAGTATTTAATGATACGAATGAAAAATGATAAATGTTAATCCAAAACAGCGTCGTATCTATGCAGGTTAATTAAAATGCATTTATGAGATATCGAATATGGAATGACGTTTAAGAAATTTGATTTACATAAATTATTAGATACGTAATGAAATGCATTATTCAACAAATATTAACATCCTTTTCAAGTTTCGATATAAAAAAGACAGTTTCTATACTTTGTCTAAGGAAAAGTAGAGAAACAAACTTATTGTACTAAACTCGAATAATGTGTATCCCATCCAGGAATGCTGTTGTATTCCATTTAGAAGTATAAAGAGGTCCTTTAATATGTTCGCACTTAAACCAAACACCATCGTCCAATTGAGCTTTGACGCTCTTTATTGGTGCTATTGAAAATGCCAGCACTCTATAATAATAGCATATAAATATATAAATTATTAACAGTATAAATAGGACAGAAAGTGTTTGAACCTTTAAAAGTTTACCTGATGTGTGTGGATTTAACAATGGACAAAACATTTTCCTTCCTAGGCATCATATATAAAGCATGTTTAGGGTTGCTAATCAATATCACTGGCCATTCTCCATATTTGACATCAATAAAAGAGAACTGACCATGATCTACTGTTGCTACACGGTACCTAACAATATACAGAACAATAATTCCATAACTACAATTGTTACTGAATATATTTTAAGTATTTTTAACAATTATATGGATACGTTACATTCTATTATCTTTCCAGTCAGCTAATTCTAATTCTAGAAATCCTGCCTGTTGCAGTGTATACATATTTGGTACCGTTCCAGCGAGTGTATGATAATGCCCACAAAGGTATACCATACTCTCTTTGAGTTTGCCTAAATACACATTGAAAATGTTTGTTGCATGCAATAAATCAGTAACAACCTTACAATAATAAACATCCCATAGTTTCTCACCTATAACATTTCTAACACCTGTATTGGTTTGTGAAAGTATGCAAGAAGTGGGATAGTGACCAAACCATATTATAAAGTCAGCATTATTTTCCTGAGACTTATTTACCAGTTCATTTATAGTTCTCATTTCTTGGTCATCTAATACTCCAACAAAATTGAATGGTCTTTTTGGACCAGGTTTTAGACAAGCATCCACAGCAATAAAAGTGTATAATTCAGAACCAATATTTATCGTGTACATGTAAGATCTTGGATGTACTTTCCCTTGGATAGAATAATTGGAATAATAATTATTCTTTGCCTCAAGACTAACGACATTGAAATTATCTGAAAATATAAACGTGTATCAACTCTTTTTTATAATTCCTGGGTTAAACAGAATTGTGTAATTCATACCATGATTGCCTCTTACGTCTAGCCATAGTGTTCTCTTGCTAACTTTAGTCTCATCTAACACTTGCTTATAATATTGCCATTCTTCTAATATTTGTTTCGATCCCATCTTATCTTTGGTTTTTGCATCTGTGAGATCACCTGTTAAATCACGATACAAATAGCTTGTATTAATATATCGATATAAACATTACATCATAAAGTAAAGAAAACTGCAAGGAAAACAATAGTGCTTTCGTTTAGACAAGAGCTTAGCAGAGATTATAAATAGGTCTTTCTAAAAATAATCTTGAATACCTGTCTGACTCTATGTTTGTTACACTAAAATTTTGACTATTGCGAAATGAACTATTACAACTATTGTTACTGAACAGAAACTGACCTGAAGCAAGCACAACAGAAGGTTTAATAATATCCACAGTAACATTACAAAAATCTCTGAACTCTGTTATCCTAAATGGATCTCGAAATATGCTGATGTGTATGTCCGAAATCTAAAAATAATAGAAATTAATACTAAGTTTTGTTATAAAAATGACAATGAAATGGTTTGAATCAGAACACTAAGCGTTAATTGGTTAATTAATTGTGCAGAACTGTCACGATGGAATGATTCGGTTAATAATAGACACACACCTGTAAAAACCAAATCAGGTGGTCGAACGACGTTCCAATATCGTAAAACTTCGGATGCGACCATTCTTCTCGCGCTTGTTTATTGGATAATGTCTCGTCCAAAACATGAGTGTCGACATTGATCAAGTCGGCAACATTAGCTACGAGGATCGACAACATTAACACAGAGACCAGAAGAGCTACAGTGGATTTCGTTATTTTCATTTCTAGACGGGTTCAGTGGATGCTTCGCACGGCGGTTTTCTTAATACTATCGTGATGACATAGAGCTTTTTAGTAAACATTCGTTCTAGACCGAGGCCACCTGCTATATCCGTGTGTGTTTTTGATGTTTACCAATTCTCCTACGTTTATAGGTTACATTCCGTGACACGCGTGACACTTCGCGCGAGCAACTATATTGCAACAGGAAGACAATTCGGAATCCCGATCTTTCATACTTCTACCACAATTCCCTACTGATCGAGAATCATGAGTCGGCGTGCATACGCCATCAAATATCTGATCATTGCAGAACGTTGCGAACGATATTATCTGCGATCTGCGCATGTCGGATCATAGTCAGCACAGGATTCGTTACGAAAAAGCGAGGTTTCTCTCATCGCACCTCGTGCATCCTAAAATCCTCAACAAATTCGTAGAGGATGGTGGGAGAAACCTCGCTTTTTCGTGGCTGCCCTGATCGTCAGTGATGCTCATCCGCTGTTCTACCAAACCACGTAGAATCTTTTAAGATGCGAGGTACGACCAATATGTATACATACAACTCCGACTTCGGTGTTCTTAGGTAAACAATTTCCAGTGCGCACGCGTCGATCAGAAGGTAAATTTAAATTTGAATTTAAATGACAATCTCAAGCTCGCTCTTCTAGCTTCAATTGGAGGTCCGAAAAATTAAAAGGTATTAACCGGAAAACCGGGAAGATTATATTTTCTTCGAAAGTAATTTTTGCCCTTTTAGTCACAATGACGATATTTTACAGGGTATACCAAAATTGTTATTTCCGGCCACTTTGCGTCAGCGAAGTTCGCCTCTCATTAGTCAGTGTTTTTCGTTAATAACTTGTAAATAAAATCACGAATTGTATTTGCGCTAAGAAAAAAGAACACTCAGGAACCCCTTACCTCTCGAAAATAACATAATTTAGAAACACCCTATGGTAAGATGCTCAAATCGCTAGCCAATTAGTTTTAATTCTTTCCACCAGGTGGTCAATCATTTCTACTTAAAATGACGACAACCTTTCTCGTGGAGATTTATCAAGTTCCGTTGGTTCAAATTATAACTGAAAGAACACACTGTGGTCAGTTATCCTGGAAGCTGTACGATTCCTCGAGTGTATGATATTATAAACATCAATTTCTTGTATGTAATAAATTGTTTACATAATTGAATTAAAGACATTCAACCAATTAGAAAGTAGCAAAGAGACATTGAAAATGTCTCTAGAGGAAATGGCGGGTTTCAGAGAGTAGATGGCGTTCCTGCGGTCGTGTTTCAAATTGAACCGAAAAGTCGTTACATATTTGTCCAAACTTGCACGATCCTGATTGTCCCGCCAGGACAAGCACGAAATGGAGATTGTCGTTAAAGTTGGCTTTCCCCTCATACATCGTGTTAGTAAAACTTACTAGGTGTGTAGTTTTTGCATCTTTGTAGTGGAAGCGGATCGTTTTAATTTATTACTTGCTTTTACAATTAGAAAAAAGAGGTGAGTATCCCGATAAACGGTCTTCCATTTCGTTTAATTCATTGCAATTAGCATAACTAATATACACTTCGTGTTAACGTCCTTTAGTATTTACAATGTATTGTGTTTTCAATTATGATGACAATTCAGTTTTATATCAATAAAATCGTACGAAAAGACGTACACTAAATCTGTCGTAAATTATAACATAATATATTTCGAATAAATTAAATAATATATTTAATCATTTTCTTAAACACACACACACACACACACATCTTATTGAAGAATTAGAAAAATATCCTCTTATTTATATTGATACTTTATATCTCTCCACATGACTTAATTAAAGTTGTGAATGTTTTTCAGATTTTGAACATGGCTACCAGATCCAAAGATAAAATTAAGGCAATGATTGCTAAAGATGTTTCAAATATTTATAATTACTATACGGAAGTAAAGAAATCTATTAATGATAATCTGGAGAATACCATTGAGTATTTACATACTTTACTAACTCAAATACCGCAATCAGCATCTGGTCCTTTAATTCCGAAAACACCCAAGATAACAAGGAAGAAGGGAGTACAACGTATTGAAACTATTCCAGAAGATGATGTTATTGCTATTGACACTACAGTATCGGAATCTGGATCTATAAATATAAAAACAAACCTTAAAGACAGCGCTGAAGTAAGTTCATTAGAAGTGACACAGAGTCGAACAAAGAGAAAAGCTTCAGAAAGAGCAATAAACATTATTAAAAAGCAACAATCATTATCAATTAATACAAAGATGAGAAGGCCTTCGGTGTTTGATGAAGAAGAGGTGCACTTAAAGGTTTGTATAGCAGTTATATTACTTGAAAATTTATTACATTTATTTTAACTTAAAATAATAACCAAATTAGCAGAAAAAACACGAAAGTCGAGCGAAGAGAAAGAAATCTTCAAAGAACAGCTCGGATGAAGAGTCCATTCAAGGTCCCAGGAAACACAGTAAAACAGAAGAAAGTATGCTAAGAACTGCAAAAGCTTCAATAGAAGAAAATGTAGATAATGATTGTACTTTAAAGGAAGAGGAAATGATGGAAACTGAAAAAATTAAAGAATCACGAAAATCTTCATTAACACATCAGTCCAGTAGGGAAAGAACATTTCCATTGAGTAATAAAAACTCTAATATCATGAACGACACAGTTATCGCACCAAAAGCAGGAATTCTCGACGATCCTTCGATGTACGAGGACGCAATCGAGAAAACTATGCCAATTATGAATTCAACAATGAATTTAAACTCCACTCATGTTATAAGTAAAATGATGAACGTGACAGTAGTTCTGGAACCTTTGTCAGTGACCAAATTGAATGAAACTGTAACAATCAAGCAGAACAATAAGAACAACATACAGAAACAAAGTCAGCTGAAAAACAGTGAGTCACAGTCTCAGTTCAAGTCGCCTCCAATGTCGAAAGTTCAGTCGCAGTCCGAGTCTAAGTCGCCTAGAACGTCGAAGGTTCAATCGCAGTTTGAATTCAAGTCACCTGAACTGATGAAGACTCGAACATCTAAGAGATCAAAGACTCAGTCGCCTACGACGTTAAAGATTCAATCACCTTCAAAAGCCCTGCAGGACAGGATGCAACAGTTAAAAAACACAATGATAAACAAAGAGTTCGACGATCTGATAACGGACGACGAATCATCCCCAGAGATTAAGAAACATCGCCCTAATCTAAAGAAGCAAGAAATGCGGAAACGCCACAAGCGTGAAGTAAGCTCTACGACGTCGAGCGAAGATGAGGTCCTCAATACACCTGCAAAAACTGTTTCAAAGGGCGTAAACTCAGGCATGACACTAAAAGAAATTAGAAACACGTATAAATCTAATGCTCTATTCAGTCCTTATGCCAAAGAATCTGTTAAGAAAAGGGTGGAGGCTTTTGAACAAGTGAGTATGCCTAGTCCGATGTCTGCAGTTGATGTTGATGCACCTACCAGGTTGACTAGAACAAAAACAAGAGCCTTGGCTGCTGCACAAGCAGAGGTTTCGGAGAACATAAAAACTGCAGAGAGAACAGTTGCCCAGAAATTGGCGCGCAAGTCATTGGCGAAAGCTAAAAAGATTTCGTTGGCGAAGCAAGCTAAGGAATTAGATGAATATAAAGAGGTAATTCAAACGTAATTGGATAATATTTGATGTTTCATACATCAAATATTGTAATATAATTTGTTTTAGAACAAGGTTCAATCTGCTCAGAAAAGCAAACTACAAGTTCCGGTTAAAGGAAGCATTATTCCGCAGCAGAAAATGACACCGCTGGGAAAGACTAAGATTCAATTGCCTATGTCTGTTAGTCGTATTCCCCAAACCCCATCGAATACTCCTATTCAGCATAATGTAAGAATTAAACATTTTTATAAATCAGGTCCTTTATCTATGTTGTAACAATTATTTGTATGTTCACAGAGCAGGCCATTAATCGCAACGCGTACAAATGTCATCACATCAGTAGAGTCATTCATTCAGCCTTCGAAAACTGTGAACAAACGCAATTCTCTGGACAAATTGGACGACAAGAGGCGCAAATTGAATGACGAGGACGCGAGGAAGAAACGGGACGAGGCACTGAGACTTCAAACGGAGGAGAAGAGAAGGTAGGAAAGCTATGAGTGTTAGACTGTTAATAGATATTGTAACGAGCATCTATACTTTCTGAAAAAGGAAAAGGCAAGAAAAAGAATTGAAGAACAAGTTGGCGAGAGAGGCCAAAGAGAAAATGGAGGTGGCAAAGCGTTTGAAAGCTGAGAAAGAAAGAGAAGAAAAAATGCGTTTAGCGCAACAGGTGCAGGAGAAGCAACGCGAGGAAATTGAGAAAAAACGCATGGCTCAGTTGCAACGAGCTCATGTATGTTTAATTCGTATATTCTCCTCGTAAAGATGAGTTCACAGTTTTATGAAATATGATGAATTGCAGGAAAAAGAAGAAAGAAGAAGACAAGAAGAGCAGCAACGTTTGCAACGTTTGCAGGAACAAGAAGACGCGGAGAGAATATTGGCCGAACAAAGACGTCGGGAACAAGAGGCTGAGAAACGAAAAGAATTGGACGTGAGGGCTCAGCAGCAGATGAACGCCGAAGCATTAAGACTAAAGAATCAAATGCTTCAGGCACAAGTAAGTATTTATATGCAGATTTTTTGGGCATTTAGTAGTTAGCGATTTCCTCGCAAAAGATGTCATAATAATAATAAATTCTTTTAGGCAAAATACGCAAATAAACATCAGGGTCCAATGAACTACGTTTTGGATAGTGAACCTGACGAAGACGGATCTGACGATGAGTCTAAACCGAAACATGAAATTCCGTACTGGGCACAACGTAAGATCGTCCAAGTATTTTTCTATTAGATAGTTAATATTTCTTGTATAACAAATGTTTCTTTCATATAGAGTCGTTTTGTAGCTTAATACATTTAATAAAGATTTAATTTAAGGTTCAAAAATTAAAAGAGATGTTTCCTTTTTAGCACACATACGTAAAGGACAACTTGCAATGCAACGATATGTCCCAGGAAATGCAATCCTCAGTTTCTTCGACTCGAAGAAGTGCACACCAGATTTAACAGAATTATTCCAAGGTATAGACAGAAGTAGATTAAAGCGTACGTCCAGTGCAATCTGGAAAACACCGCCTCGTTATTCTATGATGGAAGCCGAATAAAAAAAAGGTACAGTTTATCGAATGCAATGTTGTTAATTACCCAGTTATGCCTTAAACCGATAGTGCCTGTTAATACCGTGTTGTAACGTATGTGATATAAAAATGATGTTATATCATATCAGCGTCGAAAAGCTATAATCAATTTGATATGACATCAATGATTGTAAGACTGCTGTTTTTTAATGTACTAATTTTACCAATTTGGCAAAATACCACCGCTTTCATTATATTTTATTTATGCATCATTAGTTATCGCTAATTAATAAGTAGTTATACAAATGCGATAGTTATTAACAAGAAATAGATTTTATTCAATGTAATGCGCCTTAATTATTTCACTCCTGATGTTGCTTCTTTGGACACATGAAAACTTTTCTCAGTTCTCAATGTATCGTCTACGTATTGCGGCTTCGTTTCTTGCTGGAAAAGTTTTGCAATGTTCAAAAATGATTTATAAATAATATTTCTATTAATCTGAATAACTTACATCAATTCTTTTTGCTGCTGTAAAATTGGTGGTAGCATCGGTGTTCGAATATTCTCTAACGATTTTAATCGTACGTGTGTGTATATAGGTATCTAAAGAAAGCATTATTTTGAATGAACTCATAATATAAGAAACCATTACTATTTGTTAGTAATTTTTAAGAATTAACATTTTTAGTTGTTTAAGATAAAAGTATACTTACATATGATAACGAGGTATTCAAAGTTGGGCAATCCAGAAAGATCTTTGAAACTGACGGCCCTATAGTTGAGATTGTAAGTCTTCTCCCATCTATCACAGGACGTTCAATAATCGCGGATTTCACGAAATCTGAGATATCATCCTTGCGTTCTTTTATTGCTTTTCTTTCACCTCCCTCTAACAACTATTTAGTACAAATGTAATATTGAAGATTTCAAATTTAATTTTAAAGAAATGACGTTAAAAATTTTAAATTACTTTCATGCTAGTAAAACTTGCAGATCTTGCAACATCAGGTGGAAGTTTGTAGTCGTTGAAGTATTTGTATGCTGGAATTGTAGGCAAAATTGGTGACCATGCTTTGAAAGTTCCAAAAGTTGATATATAACATCCACCTAATGTCCATAAGCGTACCGTGCAATCTGTGCTGCCACTTAAAAAAATAGAAACCCTCTAAAATTATAACGAAGCTTTTTTATGTGAGCATACAGTTTATCTGGACACACTGTATACTAACAAAATTATTTTTATCTATTTCGAGGTCATTGAATGAAATTAATTTGAGTAGTCAACTTTCTGAGTCATAAACCTGTCTAAAGATATGGAATAAAAAATAATACATTTTTGTACGTATGAAATTAAAATTCGTAATTATCTAAAAAATTGATAATTAGATATAAGTGTTAGGCAATCAAAATTACCTAACGATAATATGTGTGTCAGAAATGATCTGCACAGACTTAACAGGTTTCGTGTGACCCCGTACAGAAGTCAGCAAAAGTGGCAATGGTTGATTTCTGACTGCTCTTTTTGCCCTTCCGTCGATTCTATCTTTCCATAGAAATGGAAACTCCAGTCTTAATAGAGACATACATACTTTGGAGCCATTTGGCGTCAGATAGTTAGTGAGATGCCAAACCTTAATGTATCCTTTATTATGACCTAAACCATTTAAAGTAAGATCACTCTCTAGTTTTTAATACAAAATAACATCTTCGAAAAATGTATGTGCATTTTCACATACTATGCTACATCGAAAGTAGTTACGCAAATAACAGATTATAATGTTTATGATAAATTGTGTGGTATGTATTTTTAAACAATTATGATTGTACGTCACAATATTTATGCATTATGAAGTATTACATTAATTTGTGATCAATAAATTTGTATATAAAAAGAACTCTACATATACATTATAAGTTCTTTCTTTTACCTGTTACAAGGAAATCGTTTTTCGGATCTGTTGCTAATGACAATGCACAGTCACCCTCACTGTGAATGACATGAAAAGCTTCCAAAAATCCACCAGCTGGATGATGATTCCAAACTTGTATTAAACCAGAATCAAGAGAAACCAATAATGTCCCAACATTGGGTTTAGATGGTCGAGCATTTAGAAATAGCATAGCTCGTACAGCAACAGTTCTTATAATCTTCAATGCTGATTGTTGGTGTTTAGAAATTTGGGAGTGTCTGTAGATTTTAAATATAATTATGTTAATGCTACCTATTTGTAACGTCAGACTAATATCGTTAACTATTTGAAAAATGTTGCCTTTGATAGTTCTGTTCCCTGCTATCTCCATTTTTTTTGTGTCTTATGTTGAATCTGTTTAATATTATATGTAGTTAAATCATTTATAAGTTAATATTATAAAAAACATATTGTTCATGTCTTTGTACCTGGCTGTTGGATTCTGTACTTCATACTTTCGAAATGGTTGACCAGTCTCCAATCTCCAAAGTATTATTTCTCCATTATGCGTTGCTGTTGCCAATACTTGAGGATACCATATAGCCGAGCAAAGAATATCATCAGTATGATTTACTCCCCAACTTTTTATAAATATGTTTGTATCAGAAGTTGCAAATTCTACAACTTGACGATTCCAACCACTAGACAAAATTCGATTTTCTATCCAAGCCAAACTTGTTATTTCACTAAATAAAGAAAGTAAAAAGGANCACACACACACACACACACACACACACACACACACACACACACACACACACACACACACACACACACACACACACACACACACACACACACACACACACACACACACACACACACACACACACACACACACACACACACACACACACACACACACACACACACACACACACACACACACACACACACACACACACCCACACACACACACACACACACACACACACACACACACACACACACACACACACACACACACACACACACACACACACACAGTTGTACAATTACAACTGAATTACTTTATGACTTACAATCATAAATTAATTCAATTACATTTCAATTCACCAGAATTNCACACACACACACACACACACACACACACACACACACACACACACACACACACACACACACACACACACACACACACACACACACACACACACACACACACACACACACACACACACACACACACACACACACACACACACACACACACACACACACACACACACACACACACACACACACACACACACACACACACACACACACACACACACACACACACACACACACACACACACACACACACACACACACACACACACACACACACACACACACACACACACACACACACACACACACACACACACACACACACACACACACACACACACACACACACACACACACACACACACACACACACACACACACACACACACACACACACACACACACACACACACACACACACACACACACACACACACACACACACACACACACACACACACACACACACACACACACACACACACACACACACACACACACACACACACACACACACACACACACACACACACACACACACACACACACACACACACACACACACACACACACACACACACACACACACACACACACACACACACACACACACACACACACACACACACACACACACACACACACACACACACACACACACACACACACACACACACACACACACACACACACACACACACACACACACACACACACACACACACACACACACACACACACACACACACACACACACACACACACACACACACACACACACACACACACACACACACACACACACACACACACACACACACACACACACACACACACACACACACACACACACACACACACACACACACACACACACACACACACACACACACACACACACACACACACACACACACACACACACACACACACACACACACACACACACACACACACACACACACACACACACACACACACACACACACACACACACACACACACACACACACACACACACACACACACACACACACACACACACACACACACACACACACACACACACACACACACACACACACACACACACACACACACACACACACACACACACACACACACACACACACACACACACACACACACACACACACACACACACACACACACACACACACACACACACACACACACACACACACACACACACACACACACACACACACACACACACACACACACACACACACACACACACACACACACACACACACACACACACACACACACACACACACACACACACACACACACACACACACACACACACACACACACACACACACACACACACACACACACACACACACACACAGTTGTACAATTACAACTGAATTACTTTATGACTTACAATCATAAATTAATTCAATTACATTTCAATTCACCAGAATTACAATCATAATTTAATCAAATAAACGTATACTTTTTCTTGTCAAGTGTCATATTCCTTAAACAGGTACCAGTGTTGAAATTCCATATTTTCAATGATCCATCACGAGCACCAGTTACAAGTAATTGATCAGCTTGATCAAAGCAAGCAGCAGTAATCTCAACATCATGATATTGACCATATAGAAATTGACTGTGTGCATGTGTTACCAAGTATAAGCGACTTCCAAGCCATGGATCCCAAATTATTATACAAGAATCTAAGCCAGTGGAAACTACCTAAACATAACGAATTATACCTTATCATCTTACATTAGTTTATGAAGTATATATAAGGCTCTTAGATAACTTAAACAGTACCACTTTGTAAAGATGATTGTATAGGACACAGCTAATTGGTTTTGTATGAGTGTAACCATCTGATACTTCCTCATTGATTACAGGATCGCAAATAACTACAGCGATCATTAAACTAGCAATAATCATTTTATGATTCAATGAATTGTAAATTAAAGTCATTAATGTATGTTCACCTAATTCGCTTGGAAGACCATTGTATGTCTGTGAACATCGAAATAAATCTCTGATTACATCTCACAGTATGAAGATTATAAGTAACACATAGTTTTACTGAAATTATTACAGAAACCTGAATACAAGATTGTGATACCACATCCCATACTTTGATGCATTTATCATTTGAGAGAGAGTAAACACGTTTGCCATTATTTTGAACTACTAAGCCGCAAATAGCTGCATGGTGTCCTTGAAAAACACAATTAGCTTGTTTTGTCACAAATGGGTTCCAAATCCGAACTATGCAATCAGGTCCTCCAGTTACTAACATTTGGCTTTCTAAAAAAATTTGATGATTAAGACTGTCAATGTCAGCTTTATGTTACAAAAATGTACCTTCACAAACAGTGAAGCAAGTTATTCCCATGTTAACTTTAAATATATATTGTATTCTTTTTCCTGTAAAATCACTAAATAGCAAAGAACAAATGGGACATCTACTGCTGGACATGAAAGCCTTCAGACTCCCATAGTAAGCTACCTGCTTTACCCAATCCGTATGCACTCTGTTAAGTTCTGTAACTTGTAATCCTGGTACTTCACCCTATATTTGAAATCATTATCATTTAAACTACTGTGCAATTGAAGTATAATATAATTGAATTACTTGCCTTTAGAACAGATTCATAACGAAAGAACGACACATCACGTTGGGGATCTTGTTTGAATGGACCTCTATCCACAGAGGAGAATGAAATAAGTTTAACAGATCCACTCATATCTCCAAGAACGATATATGAGTCTTCCTTGATATTTTTACTGTAGTAGTAGCTCATACAAGTGACTGCTCTTTCTAGACTTGATATCTACATGCATTGTTTCTGCTATAAAAATGTATCATTTATGGAATTAGTTAATATCTACTGAGAATTTAACAAACCACCACTCTCAAGTCAAATTTTTTAGCCACACTATCGTAGAATCTTAAATCGCACTCAGTAGAACTTATACATACTATTTGCACATCTGGCATTACAATCATGTCAGTTATTAAAGTTTGTTGTACTTTTAAAAAGGCTGCAAGGAAAGCAAACGTTTAGTACTTATAAACGAACTATAAATGATTGAAAAGTTAAAGAATACTAACGGCTTGTGGATTGTACAGTACGCTCGTATTTTAGATCCAGTGACCAATAATTCACAATTCCTTCTTTTGTAATTGTTAAATAACATCCTCTTTGAAAACCTCCAGTTCTATCTTGGAGAATCTCAGGACAAAATACAATTTTATGTATAGGTGTACGGTGGTGCGATTTTATTAATTCAGGTGCATCTGTTATTGGAAGCTTCATTATCTGCCAACATAGGGCAGTATCCTTTTTCTGGAATTCTAATAATAAATAGGAAATAAATTCATTCCATGTTACATTTCCATCTCTCTTTCTGTTCATCTGTAATTAACAATGCAATGAAATTAAACTTGCACAGATTGATACTTTTATTCTACTTATACCTTTTTAAATAGTGTTTCAAACTCATCATCAGGTATTGTAATATGTAATATGTATTTAAAAGCATTGTTTAGTTGGGAAATGTTAATTTCTCCATTTTCTGATGTCTACAAAAACAATATTTTCTAAATTAAGGTGCACTGTCTAGTCTTTTAAA